ACACTCAAAGCATCTTTGGATGGGAGATAGGAGACAACTTAGCCTGTTTCATTGATCCTAGATTTAGGCTACTGCTTTATTTACAAAGCTTGCTACTGCCAGTAGCATTTAAAACCGCTTTGAGTGGGAGATTGGAGATAGGGAAACTGAGATAGGAGAGCCTGTTTCATTCGTTCTAGCGTGAGATTGATGGATACATTTAGTACTGTATCTACTGCTAGCCTTTTTTTCAAATGCCTATCACTAAAGTGGTATCACCCTGCCTGGCTGAGTCTTGTGGTGTGATTATGCTTCTTACCTCTGTAGTTTGGAGAAGCTGACAGCCACTGATGCAACAGGCTTGATGTGTGGGAAAGCTTTGTTCTGTTTACTCTATAATGATGATGTTCTGTCTCTGTAGAGATCTGTTGGACATATTATTTAAAAAAAGTAAATTTCTTGCCATACAATATGGTCCACTATGTTCTAAAATTGAATGGAATAATCAACCCCTTGGCCCGTAGTAAATCACTACAGAAAATAAAAGGCATTGTAGAACCCTCTAAGTCAGGAGAATTTGCAAACTTAAAATCTTTAACAAAGCATGTTTATTTATTTGGAGTTGCAATCGTTGCACTAAGCACAGCATCAATAAGTGGTTAAAATATACCCACTTGGATAGCATTACTGCCAGCTTTAAAACATTAATAAGAAATCATAGTTTACTGGAATATTAACCTATACCTGGAAAGGAATTCATAAACACATTTGAATTATAAATGGTTTGTATTGAGGTTTAGATATAGATAATGACAGCACTTACATTCAAACCACAAATCGTATTTCAGAAATTTCATAAACTTGAAATTACTGTTAATGACAACAAATATCACACACAAGTATGGTATATTTAAGTTGTCAGCTATTTTTTCTTTTAGCAATTTCTTGCATATTCATAAGAAAGATTATGTGATTAATAGCCATGAGAATCACAGGAGTGCTAAAAAAGTTGAGGGGAAAAAAAGAGTGTGTTAAGGGTGAAATGTAGTAAAGCCACATTGAAGAGGAACAAGTGTCTTGATTCCTACTAAGAAATATGTTCAGCATGAAGTTGTTGACTATTAGGCATTAGCAAAGTCCTTGCAAGGTATCACCAAATTCTCCATGCCTTAAATATTAAATTATATAACTGTATTTAATTGGTTCTCTGTTTCCAATACCTTGTTTTTGTCATAAATACATTTAGCAGAAACAAGATCATATATTTAAAAAATAAATTTCCTGGGATGCAAATTTGGTCACAGATAAGAACATGCATACTTTCACCACATGTGAAGAACACCATCTTTATTTTCCCAGCTTCTTTAGAAAGATATTTGATTATCATTTGGGTGTTAAATTCTTAGTGACAGAGAAACTTAGACTGAGTGATTAAAACAATATCCATTCTCCCACATTGAATATTCTGCACAAGTCTCTATGAAATGTTAAAATAAATAATTTCATTAGTTAGTATTTTAGAAAACTATAACTGCATATTATTATTAGATTTAATTAACAGGTTCTTGTGCAATAGTTTATTTCCTCTCGGTTCCTTAGGGCTGGCCTGTCCATATGAGCCGGTGGGACCATGGCTATAGGTGGCACTCTGACATTTTGCCACTCCTGTCCTTATATAACATGCCTTGAGGTGGCTGCAGAATGTTCTGTAAGGTACTCAGTCCATTTCCATGGACCTGACACCAGGAGAGGGCTCGGCGGCTTGCCCTGTATGCTGCCAGGTACAGGGCCCTTCTGATTAGACTGCCTAGGGGAAAGAGCCCAGAACCTTCTTTATCAGACCACATGGTAGAGGTCTTCTGAGATCTGAGAGCATTGCCCCCACACTGCAACCCTTCCCACACTCTGCCCTTTCACTGTCACCAACACACACACCACCCCACAGTGTCACCAACACACACTGCCTCCCCACACTGTCACCCTCCCACATCCTGCCCCGCCATGGTCACCAACACACACACACTGCTAACATAGTACAGAACACTGGTGAGACCTGACTTGGAGTATTGTACACAGTACTGGAGACCGTATTTCAGAAGGATATTGATACCTAGAAATCTCAAGAGGGCCTCCAACTGGTCATGGATGGATCTAAACAGTTTTCTGTGTTTTTCGATATGTAAGCATATGTATGGATGGAAACGAGATATTAATATATAGAAAAACAGTCATAACAGTTTAAATGCACTAAAGAGGACCAATTTAAACTCTTACAAGATAAAACAATGTGTAGGACATAGTCTTAATTAGAAATAAAGGTTTACAGAATACAGGAAGTATTACTTTACTGAGAGGGTAGTGCAGAGCAGAAGTGCGTGGTAGAGGGTTAACACAGTAAAGGAGTTTACATGCATGGGATAGGCATAAGTACATCATCCCAACTATAAGATAAGGCTAGGGACTAATGAAAGTTTTTAGAAAATTGGGCAGACTAGATGGGCCGAATGGTTCTTATCTGCCGTCACATTCTATGTTTCTATGTTTCTATAGTAAGGTGTCAACGCTTAAGTGATAATCCCCAAAAGTTAATACAAATGGGTAATATTTTGTCGTATTACTTTCTTGTTATGCAAAATCTAAAATACCCACCTCCACATTGGTGGATATATAGGATCTGAGGCAGTCTTTCTGTGTTATATTCGATATGTGAAGCACTGTGTATCCAATGGAAACAATTATATTAATGTACCTTAAAGTATATAGTGTAACAGTTTAATTTGCACTGAAAGATTCCCCAATACAAACTCTTACATGATAAAATAATGTGGTTATGAATTCCCAATAGCCACAAAATATCCAGTGTTACAGATAGGCAGTGTGTAAATAAATGGTTACCACTCCGTCAGAGCAGCTGGATTCGTGAATGTCCTATATACCAATCCGCAAGGTATGGAAGCTGAACCGCAGGGAGTCTATATTCACTGGTAAGTATGAAGGCCGGTCTCAGATCTACGCATTTCGCCCGAGCTGAGCAGGCTTTTTCAAGCTGGTTCGGCTTCCACACCATGCAGCTTGGTATTCAGGACATTCACTGATCCAGCTGCTCCGACGAGTGTTAATTTATCTACACACTAACTATCTGTATAACACTGGATATTTTGTGGCTATTGGGAATTCATAACTGTGACGGTAAGGGTGCATGATTTGTTATTGCACTATGGAATATTATCCTTTAATGTAATTTGTGTAGTGCCTGTCTTGTGGAATATTGGAATATTGTCAATGTCAAAAAGGGTTAATTTGATTGTATGAAAGGTCATATGACAGAAAGGGTAATGTAAATTGCATAAAAATGTGAAAATGGTTTTGCCATATGGATAAATCCTGTGAATTAATCAAAGGCTCTGCAAGGTGTGAGATTCTACACTTGAAAAGCCTGAATGTCTGACTTCAGGCATATGGCATGTACCTCTTAATTGATGAGATAATCTTGCTAATAGCCTTGTTCCAGTATCATATCCCAAAACAAAAAAAAGAAAACATTCATATTTACCCACAGAATAATAATTAAGCCTCATTTTTGTTATATTTGGAATGTGACTAGCGCCATCTTCTAAACAAGACCAAACATGATGGCATAACTTAACCATAGGGGAAGGAATTGTGATGTCTGCTATATTGGGTCGCAAGTACAGCGTCATATCATATTATAGAATGGGAAAAAAAAATTGTTATTATGCAATTATTTCTGTGGCAGGTACATAAGAGAAGATAGAATCAAATGTTTCAATTTGGATTGATGTGGGTCTGGACACAAGGGGGTGGTCACTTAGTGTCTCTATAGACAAACTTTTAACTCCACTTCTGGGTGAGGCGTGGTAATCCACAGGGTATATCTCTAATGATACTGAAGTGTGCTTGGTACTTGCTTGAGGGACAGAATCTAATTCTAAGTGAGTCACCATATTTACTACTAGGGACCCCTGTGGCAGAAGTATTTACTTTGAAGAGCTGAGTGATTAGGACTTTCTGTTATTTTATCCCTTTTGTTTTTATCTGTTGTTGGTGTCAATAATTTTGATTGTCATCTATATTTTTGTATGCACTGTGACTATTTTTTGCTCATAATAAATATTTCTTTATTAAGTTCTGCCTTTGTCTGGTAAAGAATAATGTTACTTGAAGAGACTAATTAGTATTTTTGCATTTCCTTGAATATTATGCTAAGTTGTATTTGATGGGTTTTTATTATTGATTTACCTGGGGGACCAAGGTACCCAATTTATAAATTGAATTGGTGGTGGCAGCATTAAAATAATAATATTTATAGTATTATGCTTACTATAATAATATTATTACATTAAGGTGGATTCTTTTATCGTGTAAGAGTTTTTATTAGGGGTTGGGGAATCTTTCTGTGCAAATTAAACTGTGTTACACTAGATCCTGTTGCTTTGAATCCTTGAAGGTACAGAAATATAATTGTTTCCATTGGATACACAGTGCTTCACATATCGGATATAACACAGAAAAACATTAAGATTGCCTCAGATCCTATATATCCACTGCTGTGGAGGTGGACATTTTTGGTTTTGAACTCTCTATGACAAGAAAGTAATATCACAAAATATTGGGTGTATTTTTATGGGTTTTTTTTTAGTTTGCGGGGGAAGCATTTCTTCTTTTGGACCCAGGCAACACAATGTCTTGGGATGGCTCTGCGGTTCCTCTCACTAATATACTGATCATCATTAGATTGCTATAACATTTCTTTAAAACCACAGAAATTGGGGGCATGGCCTGACAAGCAAAGCAGATGGTCACACACTAGTCGATCTCTGCTAACCACCAGCCCAGCAAGCGACATACAACTGAGAAAAAGGCACCCAGAACCCACTTTACAGCCTACAGTGATGCCCAACACAAACAGAAAAAAAAAAAGTCTGAAAAGAGCGACAGACTAAGCTTTGCAGCCAAATCCACTGCGAGCAAACCTCCCAGCCTACCTGAGGGTGACCAAGATGGCGGCGGAAATGACAAATTACCTCTCCCAGCATCTCCCACGAAGAGTTCGCTCCCTGTTACACAAGAAATCTTGCAATCCTGTCTTGATGCAATGTCCAAGAAACACCTGGCAAACATTCACCGCTCAATTAGCTATCTGCGCAAAGATGTCCAGGAACTGAGAGACAGAACCTCCCAAACGTAACAGCACAGGGGGTTATATGCGGATGACCATAACGACCAAGTACAGCAGTTGTGAAGGTAGCTTGAAATGACTAAAGTTAAGCTCATGGACCCAGAGTACAGGTCCAGATGACAGAACCTGTGCCTCAGAGGGGTCCCAGAGGAGGTGAAACAGCTCCAGGAGTTCTTAATGGGATAATTGAAAACGCTGGTAACAGATCTATCAACCGAAGTCCTCTTGCTAGACAGATGGCACAAGGTAGCAAAGCCACAGTTCCTCCCTGCAGAGGCTCTTCACACTTCAGAAAAGAAAGAAGTACAGGGAGATTACAGCGGCCCTATGCCAGAAATGGATCCTATACCGATGGGGCTTCCCAGTCCAACTGATTATCCACCAAAATGGAACAGTGTCCCAGACACACCACCACTCTGCTCCACGACACCCTCCCATCTTTCCCCTGACTGGAATAGAGTGAAACTATAATATCACCCAGAGGCCATGGCTGACCACCTTGGAGATAGGTCAATGAACCGCAGCAAGTACCTTTATTGTGAATTACATACTGCCAATAGTTTAGCATTGCTTAGAAAAGCCTATATGCCTGACTGTTCATTTATACCACCACAGCATGCTAAAACACGGGCACTATGCCCCCATGTTCATATTGTGAGTAACATTAATACCCTACCAGATCTAGCTGGCCAGTCCCTATCAGTATCGTCATCCAAAATAAAACAAGAAAAAAAAAAAAGAAAAAAAAAAACTTACCTGCAACTAGAGATGTCCCGAACAGTTC